CAGGCCATTAGTACTGGATTCAGCATCTTAAGGGAATTGTTCTATCATATTTTTGCTATTTACAAAGCAGAAAAAAAAAGTAATCTATATTTTATAATCCCTCCAACAAAGACAGACATTAGATATGTTGAGATAAGGCATCTAGTTTAACTAAAATATAAAATAAGAAATATGGAAAATTGGGAGAAAGGAAACATAAGGATAAAGGAAGATATTCTGCTTCAATGAGTTCAGTGGATTATTGTTCCAAATAGGACTAATTTTGCATGAATAGCAAGTATAAAAGTTTTAAAAATGTATACTTTTAAAATATAATATGCACATTTGGGCTCAATGTGATGGTAAACTGGTTAAATCTTTATTTTTCAAGCACTGGGATCCCATACAGGTGCCAGTTCATGTGCCAGCTGCTCCATTTACTATCCAGCTCCCTGGTTGTGCCAATGGGAAAGTACTGAAAGATGAATCAAGTCCTCAGTACCCAATATCCACAATGGAGAACCAGCTGAACCAGCTCCTGGCTCCTGGGTTTAGATTGGCTTAGCTCCAGCTGAAGTGGTCATTTGTGAATTGACCCAGTGGGTGGAATATCTTTCTGTCTGTCCTCTGATCTGGTCTGCCTTTCCAATAAAAATACACAATTAAAATTATAATCTACACATTAAATATGTGTAGCTCTTAATGTCTTATCTCCCATCATTTCCTATACATTCTCGGAGTGAATGATAGAACGGAGGGCAAGGAGAAGAAGAGAGCAAGTGATTTTCCAGAAAGAAATGAAGGAAGATAAATTCCTGCCTTCTCTGAGTCAATGTGATACTGAACCTTTCGGCAGACTAATACTTTTTCAGAGTCCACAGTGCTCACCAATACACTACGGAAAGACTAATACTTTTTCAAAGATAAAGCATTCTTACTTCCAGAAACTTTTATGCTATTCCCCAGGTTCAGAAGTCACTGGACTAAAGGAACCTAAACCTGTTGACTTAAGTGGATGATTCTAAGGAAAATGACACATTGATGAGATAGAAAGAGAAGCTTCCCTTTGCTGCATGAACTAATCTCACAAAGCCTCTCTTCATGATGTGATCTGTTAAAGTAGATCAAAGTGGATGTCCAGCTAGGATGAAAGGTCCCAGAGAGCTAGGCACAGGATCTCAGACTGCTTCATCTGAGCTTTTATAACTGCCAGTGCCTCTGAAAGGTCCCATGATATTGGATATCAGTGAAGATCTATATCGGTGCCTGTCTTATGTGATCCTCTTATTCTTTGCATTAGTGAGTATTCGTTTTCATTAAAACTCAACAATATATTTCTTAAAAAATAAAAACAAAATTTATTTATTTTTGTTTGAAAGGCAGATGCATAGACAGGAAAATCCTCCACCCGTTGCTTCACTCCCAACTGGCTGCAATGACCGGAGCTGAGCCTATCTGAAGCCAGGAACCAGGAGCTTCCTCCAGGTCTCCCACACAGGTGCATGGTCCCAAGACTTTGGGCCATCCTCCACTGCTTTCCCAGGCCACAAGCAGAGAGTTGGAGGAGAAGCAGGGCTTCAAGGACATGAACTGGCACCCATATGGGATCCTGGCGCATGGAAGGCAAGGACATTAGCCAGTAGGCCACTATACTGGGCCTGCAATTCTCACTTCTAAAATCAAGGTCAAAAATAATTTGCCTTCTGAATCTTACTTTCTGATGGAAAATCATTGCGAAAACAGTAACACTGTGTGTTTTTGCATATATAGCTTTGCTCGTATTACATGTGCATGATTTAAATTAATATTCTTTCCAAGAGAATATGCTTTGGTTTTCAATATTCTGCTCTTAAAATTCACGCAAAAACACTTTTGTCAGCAGAAAACAGGTGCGCTGGGTAAGGCCACAACCTCAAATGTTGGCATCCCATATGAATGCTGGTTTGAGTATTTCCAATCCATTTCTCTGACTGCAACCTTGTGAAGAGCAGAGGAGACGGCACAAGCGTTTGGGCCCTTACAATTCATTAGGTGACCTGACTGAAGCTCCTGGATCCTGGCTTCAGCCTGACCCAGCTCCAGCTGTTACAGCCATCTGGGCAGTGAACCAGAGTCTGCAAGTCTACCTTTCAAACAAGAAAGGAATCAAATCACATTTCCTAGCCATTGCTCTTCCTGAGGATTAGAAAACTCTTACTCATTTTTTTTCCCTTTTATGTACACATTTCTTGTTCCTCATGTGGCTCATTTTTTCAAAAAAGTTGATTTGCCACGATTGCTACTAGGTCTGTATTCCATATCTTCCATTCCATATCTGAGTTCAACTCCAAGCTCCTCTTTGAAATTAGTTTCCTGCTAATGCATCCCATGGGAAGCAGCAGATGAAGGTTGAAATACTCTCTGCTCACTGTCACCCACATAGGATACGGAGACTGAGATCCAGGCTTTTTTAACCTTAAACTGGTCATCTTTGGTCGTTATAGGTGTACGAGAAGCAAACCAGCACAGGGGGAATCTTTCTTAGCCTGTCTTTTGGGCTTTTAAGTAGAATAGACCTCTACATGCAAGTGGAAGCCCCAGAGGAAACCAGATTGGTTCAGCTTCTCGATGCAGCCATTTGGAAAGTGAACCAGTAGATGAAAGACCTCGCTCGCGCTCCTACACTCTGTAAAAATCTGCCTTTCAAATAAAAAGAAATAATCTTTTTTTTTAATGCAAAGTCAGACATATAGAGAGGAGGAGAGACAGAAAAGACCATGCATCTGATGATTCACTCCCCAAGTGACCACAACCGCCAGGGCTGTGCCACTCTGAAGCTGGGAGCCAGGAACTTCCTCCCGGTCTCCCACACGGGTGCAGGGTCCCAAAGCTTTGGGTCATCCTTAGCTGCTTTACTAGGCTACAATCAGGGAGCTGAATGGGAAGCAGGGCTGCCGAGATGAGAACCTGCACCCATATGGGATCCTGGTGCGTTCCAGGTTAGGACTTTAGCCGCTAGACCACTGCACCGGGCCCAAGAAATATATATATATATATATTTAAGATTAAAGAAATACATTTTTGCTATTCTTTATTATTTTACAATTACCTTACCCTTCTCCATTATGCATAGCACATATCCAACCAATGGCTTTTGTAAGACGTAGTGCATTCCTTTAAGAAAGACAGAGACACACGGAGAGAGATTTGAAAGGAAAAATGGAGACAAAGATGTTTCATTCACTGGGTTTGCCCAAATGTGTGTGATAGCTAAAGCAGGGACAAGCTGAAGCTGGGAGCATGCAGCTCTTCCAGATATCCTTCCCACACGCATTTGTAGGAAGCTGAAATTGCAACGATATATCTAGGACTCTAAAGAGTATTCCAAAATGGGATTGGACATCCCCAGTAGCCGCACCCATCGCAGCACAATGCCCACCAGACAGGATGTTCTTACAGTTCTTGATGTTCATAAATACTACAAACAACAGTTCCTTTCAAGGAACGACTTCTATGCCAACCTATTCAGTGATATATGGACTTGTTTCAATCACGTAAAGAAAAAAAATTGTAAAAGTTCAAAACTTATCATTTTGTGTTGCTATTTCACTTGCTTTTTAAAAAAGCCACCATATCACCTGGGTGCTAACCAATACAAAAGAGAGTAGCAAGTTACTTCTTGAATTCCTGTGGAGAAGACATGCTTACATAAGAAATTAAATAGGAAAAGGCTGTTTAAAAATTCCTAGAAAGAGACATAAACACAAATAAAACGGAAACATCTTTTTTCTAAAATCTGAAAACTCCTGCTTCTAGTCTCAGGTAAACATAATAAAGGATTAGACATATTTTCAAATATATTTGAGGAAGAAAATGACACATTGTAGATTCCTCTTTTGAAAAATAAAATAACCAACTCTGTCCAATCTCTTATTCAGAGTTACTGAACTCCGAATATGCGAGTATTTTAGATGAGTCTGCAAACATAATCACATAGCATACCTTTTCCTTGGATCCGTGACTATAAACGCTATACCACTTAGAACACTTTCACACACCCTGATGTCACCTATCTCCCTCCAGGAAATAATTACCAACCTTATTTTGCAAGCCTGGAACACAGCGCAATAGTTAAAGTAGTTCTCAGAACTCTTAAAAACAGTAACAAAACGAAGATAACTCCTTTTTTTATTCCAATTTTGGCAATCAAATACTTGAAAAACACATTTATTAGTGAAAGAAACAGATTATGCTATAAACGTTATGGTAAAGTATATAAATATCTCCTTGAAATTAGAATTACTGACCTGCAAACTTGTCTACTACAGCATTTTCAGCATTGACTCCCTAACAAAAGAGTCAAGAAACAGATAGAAAGGGAGGAACGAGTGGAAAAGGAAGGGGTTTTCAAGCACAATACAGAAATACTTATCTGGTGTTAAGAAACAATCTTGAAATTGTACCTCATGAGGTAGCTGATTATTATTATTATTTTTTGACATGCATTAGAAATTTCTGATTTGCTGCTTCTCAAGAAACCTGTTCTGTTGTTTCCTTACTTCACATTCTAGTAAGAGTTTTGTTCTTACAGTCTAACCAAAATTTCTTTGATTAATTTTTGCTTTTTCAGAATAATATTGACCATTCTAATTGGAAAAAAAAAAAACCTTTAGCAGGAGAGTGCTTTATTGAGGGGAAAGAGTTTTCATTACTTCATTTTTAGAGATTTCGAATATAAATAATAAAGAGACAAAAAAGAGTAAAAGAATACATCCAAGAAAACCTCCAGACAAACAATGAGTTTTGTATCATTAAAAAAGACTTCTTTTATGGAAAAAAAAATCATGAGGAAACAAACAATATTGTTGTACAAATAAATAGATTTATAGTTTTATTCAATACCACAGTTCCGCTCAGCATTTGGCTATTTATATTAAATGTTACACAATAATTTAAATAATCTAGTTAATTTTATAACATATTATGAATAACCACAATTAACCATGACTTTCATTATGAAACACAAGAAAACAATAAAGCTGTATTCTTCCCCATAGCTTAATTGTGCTGTTGTCGCCCCTACCATGACATTGAATCTTTCATTGGGGTAGTCCAAATTGTAACATTCAGGAGTGCCTGACAGTCACTTGCCATTCTTCTAATTCAAGTTGAACTATCACAGAAAGGAAGTGAAGAGGGAACACAGAAATGAGGGAACAACATCAAGTCCAGGATAGGGACGAGCTTTATGATACATTCAAAAAACTTCCTTTGATATGAGGTCAGCATTCAGATATAATAATATTTCATCTAAACAGAAATATGACCAGGCTTTTATCCTCTTCTGTTCGAGTGAAACTATTCCTATTTATTCCGTATGAAGACACAATACTTTGTGTTTTGGCTTAAACACAGGGGAAAACACCATAGAATTATCACTGAGCTCTTGCAAACGCATTGTACCACAATGGTGGAAGAAGACAAAGTGCTGTGTTCAAACTTACCTAAATGCATGGAAAGGGTGACACAAAATGAATATTATAACAAACAGACAAATGACATTGAATGAAAATATTTACTGCCAAGTGGAATGTTACATTTTAGAATACTTGTATATAGAAATTTTTAAAATACATCTATTTTATGAATACAGTTAAGAAAAACAGAAATATTTCACTTGGATCTTTGTTCATCAATATTGTATGTAAGTGTTTACAAATGCAAGCCATATGAAGTATTAGAAAAATAGTTCTATATTACATAATCTGAGAAATAGCTGACATACCGAATGACTCGAAAATATATTTTCATGTAATATTTAACGTCACAGATTAGAGATACATTACTTATGGTCAAATGATTATTTAATCTATGTTGAAATATGTACTGGTTTTAAAAAACCTTCAGTGCATGTAGGATTCCACAGGGCCTTGAAAGAAAACAAAAAGAAAAAATGACATAAAATTAATAAAATGAAATTTTGTGATGAAGGTTTAAAATATTCAAAACTTAAGTAAAATAAAAAAAAAAACAGACCAACATACAACAGTTCCAATGATAATTTTCTGTTAGAAACATAACATTTACAAAGAGGATTAGTAATGGTTACTTCCCAAACTTCCAATTAAAAATTCTTTGCTACCAAACAAAAGATGAATGAAGGAGGATTAGCAAACAAAATGTTATTATTGCCTCAGTTTGCAAGTAGAGATACAGAAAACAAATCTCATCAACTGTTTTCTTTATAAATTCCTCAAGAGAAAATTGCAATTAAATAATGAAGCATTAAGCAAGTTTTATCAGACCCTCCTTATATTTTAATAAGCCAGTTATAATCAAGTCTTTAACACAAGTACCCAATAAACCTTGCCATTCTGCAGCAAGGATTCCCATTATTTAAAATGTGCAAATTTATAACAATTTAAGTGATATGAGCATTCAAATATTTTTAAATATTTAAACATTAAAATGAAATGCATTTTATATGGAAGTAAATATAAAAGAAAAAGAAAGTATATACCCAAGAAGTACAGGACAGGACACCATCTCCAAAGGAATATAAATTTTTAGTTGTGGAGATAAAAATGAATAAAGGAAAATATGAGTCATAGACAAGGTGACTTATAGCTCAACTCAAAGGATATACATGGATATTTACATATACACTTGTCAATCTGTAGAACTAATACACAGAACTATAACTGCAAGGTGAAGCATAATCAATAGGAATATCTGTTGAAAGAGTTCTGTAGAAAGAAAAAAATCATTCCTGAGCTTGGTGGAAAGATAAAACAGAATTGGAACTTGGCTGAAAGGAGATTTACACATTGGTCAAAGGTCTTTCCAGATATTTTAAAAACATAAAATACTACCTAACCTGATGACACAAGGAACAACAGTTTAGATGGGATAAAAAGTCTTACTGGCAATCAGCAGGAGTTACAACTGAAAACATAGGGAAGGATACAATTATTACTGGCCATGCACACTGGTTTGAAGAATGAGGATTTTACTCAATCTGCTTTAGTGAGCCACTCAATGGTGTGTGAACCACTTAATTGTGTGTGCTAGCTATTGTGTATGTGTGGTGTGTACATGTTGTGTATCAACAAAGACGTGCAATAATGGAAGCTGTATGCCTATGTTTTGTTCTGGTAGAGTCATCAGATGGTGCACTCAGAGCCTTTTGGTGGGAAGACAACATTAACATCCGCATGAGGAAGTGCTAAAGCACCAAGCAAGACTGGAATATGACTGCCTAAGCTAACATCACTTTGCTCATCCAGATACTTATTCTGGTTCTGTGAACATCCTGGATAAGGAGTTCCCTGATAATTATTACACATGCAACATCAGCCCTTCCTCTGGTTTCTCCTAAACTCATCTTGCTACTAACTTTCCTCATGGTCCATATTGCTGTGTGAAATTCTGTTCTTCTTTCTAATGCTGATTAACTATCTTTCATCCTCTAGAATGTAAAGTTTATGAGACAGGAGATTTGTATGTTTGTTTTTCATTGGTGAAATGCTGATGTCTAGAATACTTTCTGATTTTTAGGGGACAGTATAAACACCTTGTAATGAAAGTCATGTCAGGATTATAACCGTGTTAAACACGGATGCACATGCACAGAGAATAACCAAACATGTGTATTTGTTGAAAAAAAGGTCTACAAAGTCATTAAGGCTGGCACTATTAACAAGATGCCTGAAGATGCTGTTAGATGAATGTGGAAAGACAAAGAATATATTAAAATATTTTATATACTTCTCTGAAATTTGACACTATATTTTTCCTATATTTCAAGGATACTAAGATTTATTATTTTTAAAGTTCTAAATCAGATCCACATTTTAATTTTAAAATGTTGCTAAAATGATGGGAAATATCCTAACTGAATCTGGCAGTGAAATACAAGTGATTGATATTTGATATAAGTCACTGTGTGTGCTGCTATTTCTCCTTCTGGAAATGATTTCTGATAGTCCTGTTTTGAAACCTTGTCCTCTTATATGTCACTTTTAGTTTGCAGAACATAGGGAAGTCTGCAAAAAAAAAAAAACCAAAAAAACAAAAAACTAAACTAAAACCCAATGAGGATTAATGACTCACTGTGACTACTCTGCCCAGACAACACTAACTGGAGATAGGATTCTTTTATGATTAATCACTGTGGAATATTAAAGGTTAGGAAAATCAGTTACACAGTAATTTTCTTGGTTTTTACACTGAGATGTTTCCTTTCTGCTGTTTCTCAATATATTTTTATGTTTTTTAATTTTATCAATCCTTAATTAAAATCCTTAAAACTCTCTTAAATATATATTACTGCTAGATGACTCAATCCCTGACTTAACTCTGGGATATATATTACATATGTATGTAATATTATTGAAATGCTTTGGTGGATTTTGTTGTTGTTGCTGCAAATGGGGAAGTAATTCCTTTAATAGAAACATTTTTAAGCATATGGGAAAATAGCACATAGTCCTTAGTGAAATTCATTTACTAGGTGTTGCTATTCCTGTTTTTTTTCATCTCTCTTTCCTGTGTACTATATATATATTACATCATATACATATATGTGTATACATGTATTATATACACATACATATAATCACTATATTTTTTCAGTTTCTTCAAGCAGAGCTCACCCAATTTTATTAACATTATTGTTTATTAAGGATACCATCTCAGTTACACTGCATGGTTTTAATTTGTCTGGTTCATGACATTACTGTACTTATGCATCCACCTCCTCTTACAGAACCACTGAAAATTATATCTTTGAGCTTGAAAGGTTTTGCTCACTAGTGGGAACTGCAGCCAAGCAGGGGTGTCCTTTTAGCTACCCAATCAAGCTCTTACCCAGCCACAGATCTTGTGTATGCCAGTGGTTGCTCAGACTCAGCCAGGCATAACCCATTACTCAGCTTGGCTTTTGCCGCCAGATGCTGTAACTTGGTCTGGCTGCGTCAGACCCCATACAAAACTCTCACTGGTGGGTGCTGCAGTCTATCCCTGCCCAGCCTGCCTCCACCCTGGGCTTTCCATGCAGACTGGTAGGTGTGATAGCCTAGGCTAGCTTGGTATGTCCTGCACCCCATCCTGGCTCCCGCACATACCAGTGTGCTGTGGTTTGGTCCAGCCCTTCCTGGTTCACCTCCTACAGAGCCAACTCACATACCTGCTGACAAGTGAAGCAGCCCTGTCTCGCCTGACTAACACACGGCCCTACTCATGCACTCACTAGCGGCAGCTATGGCCCATCAGGGGAGTTCCACAAGGTCCCCCACCAGGCCCACTCTCAGACCCAGATCTCATGTGTGCTAGCAGGTGCTAGGCCCTTACTTGACAGTCTGCCACCCTAGTCTCTGACTTTGTGTGTGTTGATGGATGTTGTGCCCAGCCTGCCCCATACCCAATCTTTGGGTGTGCCTGTGGGTGCTATAGCCTAGACCAGACTGGCCTGTTCCCAACACCAGTATGCATGAGTGCTGGTGAGTTCCATGGTCATGCCTAGCTCAGCCCATCACCACCCCAGATCTTGAGCAAACTAGTTAGTATAGCAGTTCCACAGGGGTAAGCCCATGATCCCTCACAGGATCTGCTCCCAAACCCATGTTTTCTCATGAGCTTGCTACTGTCATGGCCTGCCTAACATGGCCCACCCCTGACCTAACACTCACTGGCGGGTATTTTAGTCAAGCCCTGCCAGGCAGGCACCCCAGGCATGGCTTTTGTGGGTGATGGTAGGTGGTGGTTGATACCAACAATTCCAGCTCATGTGTCCCATATGGACAGGTATACTGGTTTGGCCCTGAAAGGTCCTCTCGTTTCCTTCCTCTAAACCATCCAGTCTCAGCCCCCTCATTTACCTGTAAATGCAATAGCCATGTTGATGGGAGTTCACAGAAGTCACTCTTCCCCTGCCACATTCTAACCCAGCAATTCCCCCTTCCACACATCTCCCGACCTGCTTCCTTGAGCAATCCACAGCACTCCGATTCCAATCCTCTGGTGGTATGCCATGCCAGTTTGGAGTCCTGCTTACTTGCTCAGGATCCATGCACACTTGCGCTATGAGTGCAACAGCTGGAATGGGTGTGATGAACTGGGTTAGACATGGCTGCAGTTTCATTTGTCATGGGTGTGGACTGGGTCTAGGGTGTGCTAGACTTGGCCAGGCTCTGGCACTTGCTAGTGCTCACAAAAGCCAGGGCAGGCATAGGACAGGCTGGGCTAAATTTATACCCACTGAACTACATTAGGGTATGGACTAAGATAGCTGCTCTCTAGCACCCAATAGTAAGAGTAAGAATGAGTGTGGCCAGGAGGGCAAGGCTGCGGTTCCTTCCAGGACAGGGGGTTGGCTCTCCGGCTGAGCCAAGGACTCACTAGTGTACACAGGATCTGCACAGGGAATTTATCTGATAGAGGAGCTTGGGGAAATCTTCTATCAGGACTCAGTCCCTAAGAATGAGCACAAGAATCAACGCTGGGAGCAGCCCAGACCAGGTCAGATAACAATACTACCTGGCATACATACAGGTCAAGTGTGGGCCAAGCCAGGTTGGGCAAGTTCAGCGCATCCACTGGCAGATGTACAAACCAGGACAGAGTGCAAGACAGGCCAGGCTGGGCCACTGCACCAGCCAGTTCACATTAGGGTTTGGACGGGGGGCTGTTTGGGTTAGATTATCCTGCAGCACCTACCTGCATGAGCTGGAACTGGGAACAGACCGGCTGCACCAGGCTGCAGAACCTGCTGGGTGATGCCAAGGTGAGGTGAGCCATGCCAGTGTGTGCCACAGTTTCCACCAGCATACATGAGACCCTAAACAGGGCTGAAGGGGCAGCCTTTCTGGGCCACTGCTCCTGCTGATAAGCCTGAGAGCTGAAACTGGGGATAGACCAGGCTGGGCAGGA